TAAAAATTGAGAGTAACATCAGCGCTTTTTTTGTATGAGACTTACTTCTTCAAGACCTACTTCTTCTTTGGCAGCAGCTGCTACTTTGCGACGCGTAGACACTTTCAAGGGAAGAATGGGACCACGATCTTTGCGCTTTCGGCCTCGTCCGACAGCCTGGGCTTTCTCCTCGGTAGGAACTGAGTCGTTTTGTTTTTCTACACTTTCTACCTCCTCTGAGACTTCGATGTAACCATAACCCTTTGGCAATTTCGGCAAATCAGGGATAGTTGTGGTTTTGCCTTTGCAAATGTTTTGACCGGGTTCTTTGGTTTTGGCTTTCCGTGTGCGAAGACTTGGTGCCGGATTATCTTCAGCCTTGGAGATCTTACGTTTGCGAGTTCGAGATTTTGGAGCCTTAATTTGTTTGGCAAGAGGAAGTACTGAAGGGAGCTCGATATCATTGACAGGCTGATCAAGGTTGGTGGGTAACACATCCACAGCAGCTCGCAACACAGAATTTTCTGCTGAAACCTTCTGAACTTCAGTGTTCAAATGCTCAGCTTTGACTTCAGGCGTATCCATGGCGATCTCAAGGTTGAAATCGGGTAAAGGTGAAGAACCTGCGAGGGTCAGATAGTTTGTTAGAGTTGAACAAACAAGAGAGTCAAGAAATAATTCATGACTCACGATTCTCGGTTGGATGATTCTCAGGATTCGATGGACAATTTACTCCTGAAACCGCCAGATCTTGATTTTTCAAAGGCTTAGCTTCAACTTCAGGTTCTTCCATCGGAATATCGAGTTTGAACTCGGGTAAAGGTGAAGAAGCTGCAGGATACAGATTTTTAGTTAGAGTTGAACAAACAAGATATCCCAAGAACAAAAGGAAGATGACTCACGATTTTCGGTTGGATGAATTTCAGAATTTGATGCAGCTGAATCGAGGTGGGAAATGACAATATCTTCGGGTGGTATTGGGCAAAGATGTTCCTCGCTGTCTTGATGGGAAGGTGAGTGAGTACTGATGTGATCTTTGGGGTGGTTCACTACTGTATCTTCCAAGTTTTGAACAGGACTGGTAGCCGTTTTAGGCAAAGTCGAAGGCGAGAGATTAAGAGCTTCCATATCGGTTCTAGTCGAACTATCTGGTGATGGTGAATTGCTTGATTGAATGGCAGATTCGATGACATCTAGCGAGGGACTGATTTTCGGGTTTGGGATAGAACTAGAGGCGGCTGGTGATGATAGAGTGGGAGCTATGGGTATATTGGTCATCGAATGTTTACCTTTGGATGTTTTGTCTTCAGCATCTACTTCAGCAGAAGTAGATAGGAGGGCTGGATACGGGGTCCTTTGAGTTTGAATAGGTGCAAGTGTTGTAGAGCTAGCAATAGCTTTGGCAAACTCAACATCGCGTAAAAATGAGCCAAGTAGGTATGTTTGGTTAGACCGTGGGAAGAGATTGCATCTCT